CTTGTTAGCTAAGGGCTTTGTCTTGTTGTATTGTGTTAGTTTAGCAAAAGCATCTTCTGAAGTCTACTGAAGATATATATTATTCATACATGCATATAACTCAAGCGGCAACCTTCTGGTCTCTCTCTTGAAACCAACACGGAAGTGACTTAAACTGCAATTCATTGACTGGCTGCTAGAGACTGCCTCCAAAAGGGAGTCAATCCCGTGCCGAGTTATCCTAAGATAAACCTACAATAATATGAAGTACATTTTACAATTGATTATTGAAACTTATGTAAAACATTTCCTTATCCTTATTTGAATATAAAGAACCACAAAAAGAAAAGCAATACAAAAATTAATAAGATGGAAATTAGATTCCATTACTGCAGTTCAGTAGGTTAGGTTTTACTATATAAAACTAATCTGTACCGTAACATTTACAGTAACTCTACCAGACTGGCTGCAAGGTTTTGTTCAGTAAGCATAAAAGGCTTTTCGGATCCGATCAGTTTAAGGCTTGTTTAAAAAATCATATTTTTTTCAGATCTGAAAATCTGTCTGGGTAACTGGCTAAAACATCACAGCTTTGAAACAAACCAATGCTTTCACAACCTCTAAACCTGCACTGACATGCAGCAGAGTTTTACCAGTTCAGACACGGGCACACACAGTATATTTCATGAATTACAGAGTAGCACAGCATATCCTGCCAATACAGCAATTCACTGCTTTCCTCCCTGAAATGAGTTGCAGATCTATTCCATGACAGTCGCAGACAGAAGGGAAAAAACTATTTAATATTCAAATAATAGAATCTAACTAACCATATAATTGGACAAAAACATATTTTAAACTTCTGAACTTGTTTTTTTTTAATGGAGGAGAACATACTTTCTATATCTGTTGTTTTGGCTGCAAATTCATCTGTCACTTGGTAGAAGCTGGCAAATTATTCAGATTATTCAGGCTGCATGACATGCTCTCATTCCTGTAAACAATGGAAAAAAATAACTATCCAAGGTAAAAAAAACATTCGAATCAGACTACATTAAATACAATTTCACTTACAGCAAGGATAAATGGCAGTGAATTATTGTCCGATGAGAGCATGAATCTATCAAATCTCAAGAGACATTTAGAAACCTTTTTCCACAAGAAAGTAATAATGTCTTCAAAGCATCACAACAAATCAACAAAAAACAGAAATCACACTCTCTCTTATTTATGCATTCACCAAATGAATTCAATTTTAATTCACCAATTTCTATTCAGGAATTTTATTTTGCATATAGTTGGTCCTACGCAGTTCAATGATCATAATCATTTCAAAGCCTGTTTTTTTTTTTTACAGTCTACTTGATAAACAATTCTAGTACTGTGTTTGTTTGTATTTGCAAACAAAACCAACTGAGACAACTTATAACAAAATACAACAAAAGCTGTGTTGTATTTTCTCAAAAGCTCAAAGACAACAATAAATATTTGCACAATTTAACCTCATTCTACCTGTACAAACAGGTTAAGCAATTGCTCATATTAAAAGAGTAGTTCACTTCCAGAATGAAAATTCTGTCATCATTTACTCCCCTCCACTTGTTCCAAACCTGTATGAGTTTCTTTCTTCTGTTGAACACAAAAGAAGATATTTAGAAAAATGTTGGGATCCGAACAGTTAATGGGCACCATTGACTTCCATAGTAGGAAAAATACACTATGGAAGTCAATGGCGCACATCAACTGTTCAGATCCCAACATTTTTCTAAATATCTTCTTTTGTGTTCAACAGAACAAAGAAACGCATACAGGTTTGGAACAAGTGGAGAGTGAGTAAATTATCACTTCATTCTGGAAGTGAACTATTCCTTTAATCTAGATGCACTGGAACACCCAAACTGCTTCACAAAAACATGAAGCTAATCTGTCAGATGGACTTTTTGTTAACGTTGTAAACTGGATTCATTTGTATATTCTACAACACAAATGTCCCACTTTCACCTGCAAAAAAAAATTCGCAATGCCATTTTCTAGTCTTCATAACAAGCACAAGCATGTAGGCCCGTGCCTGACTTCCACTGTAAACCACAGCGATTATATAGTGTAAAGAATGTACACAAAGAATGTGCTTAAAGGAACAGTTCAGCAAAAAAAAAATTTATTTACTCACCCTCATGTCATTCTGTGAAACCCAAAAAGGGATGTTAGACAGAATAACAGTCTGTGAAAGTGAATGGTGACTGAGACTGTCAATCCGCCTAACATCTCCTTTTCTGTTCCCCAGAAGAAAGTCATTATGAGGGTGAGTAAATAAATGACAGGAGTTTCATTTCGGGTGAACTTTAAGCATTTGAAGACTATTTGGCTACTCTGCTTTCCCCATTTTACTCTTGAGTCATGCATACCAGGCATTTCTCTCCCATAAAAATACACCACTAAAGAGCAAAGTCCCAGTGTTGCCAATTTGGGAATTTCGTCACCAAATTTAGCTACTTTCTCATTGTAGCTGCGACTTTTTTTTTTTTTTGTGACAAGGAGCTATATATTTTAGCTATATTTAAATAAAACTAGCGATTTTTTGGAGCTTTTTTTATTTGGCCACACCCTGCCGTAGTCCCGTGACCGCTCACGTTTGCTCTCAATCATGCCAATGAGTCTGCGCAGTCAACACACCAGTACGCCACGCCTGCCATGACGCACACCACAATTTCATTATAAGCATCAATCAAGATGCCAGAGAAAAAAGGAACATCTTGTTTTAACCACGGACACAAAAGTTATACCACAATTCATGCAGTCATGTCAACCAGATACTGAAAGAGAGACACAGTGCATCATCGTGTCATGTGTGCTGGGATGCAGTATTTTGCACTTACTTTGTAGTAATAGAGTGTGTTGACTGAAATAAGTTTGTATGAATAAAGTTTTTGTTTTTGGAGAATCATAATATCTCTTATCTGTTGTATTTGAGCAGGACAGGGATGCACTTTGGTGACACATAAAACAAATTCCCAACATTGTGTCTTTTGTGTCTTTCCATCCTTTCCATCATGTTTGATGTGCTTGCAGATCACAAGCATTTCCTACTTTCACTTCAGAATCTTTTGTTATATTTTTTTATATTGTTATCATTTGTAAAGTATATATATATATATATATATATATATATATATATATATAT